AACGATCCGAAAATCGGCTGATTTTTTTTTTCCGGCCGTTTTTCATCCCATCTATGGCCCATATAAGGCTGATCCAGAAAATAAGCACAATCCCCCCTGTAAATAAGCTTGCATGTATGATCAATGTGAAATTAGTATTCCTAAATGGTTTTGGAAGTAGCAGAGAATTTAGAAAGCTTATCTCCTGACATTCCCAAAGCAGCTCATATATTAGGTTTTTTTTGTTTTCGTTCAACCATTAGGTTGAAAGCAAAACAAGAAAACAAACAAACAAAAAATAAAAACAGAATTCCCTTATCCATACATTAGATAGGGAATCCTTCCTGCTGAGCTATTGTATTCTGACAGCGGGGAATACACGGATCAGTGTTGCAGGCTATAGCCTGCAGTGCCAATTGAGCGGGGGAAAATCCAGTAGGGCAGTTGTACAGAAGTCAAATGGTAAGGGGGTTCCAACCAGGCCACTCACAAAGCGAATTTTAGTGGATTCACACATGTGCGGTGCGAATTGAAGCTCCGTTTTTACAGCTAAGTGACATAGTACTTGTTCAGCGGTTCATCAGGGTCCAGGTCAGGTTTACATCAGGGTCCAGGTCAGGTTTACATCAGGGTCCAGGTCAGGTTTACATCAGGGTCCAGGTCAGGTTTACATCAGGGTCCAGGTCAGGTTTACATCAGGGTCCAGGTCAGGTTTACATCAGGGTCCAGGTCAGGTTTACATCAGGGTCCAGGTCAGGTTTACATCAGGGTCCAGGTCAGGTTTACATCAGGGTCCAGGTCAGGTTTACATCAGGGTCCAGGTCAGGTTTACATCAGGGTCCAGGTCAGGTTTACATCAGGGTCCAGGTCAGGTTTACATCAGGGTCCAGGTCAGGTTTACATCAGGGGTCCAGGTCAGGTTTACATCAGGGGGCCAGGTCAGGTTTACATCATGGGTCCAGGTCAGGTTTACATCAGGGTCCAGGTCAGGTTTACATCAGGGGCCAGGTCAGGTTTACATCAGGGGCCAGGTCAGGTTTACATCAGGGGCCAGGTCAGGTTTACATCAGGGTCCAGGTCAGGTTTACATCAGGGGCCAGGTCAGGTTTACATCAGGGGCCAGGTCAGGTTTACATCAGGGCCAGGTCAGGTTTACATCAGGGGCCAGGTCAGGTTTACATCAGGGCCAGGTCAGGTTTACATCAGGGGCCAGGTCAGGTTTACATCAGGGGCCAGGTCAGGTTTACATCAGGGGCCAGGTCAGGTTTACATCAGGGGCCAGGTCAGGTTTACATCAGGGGCCAGGTCAGGTTTACATCAGGGGCCAGGTCAGGTTTACATCAGGGGCCAGGTCAGGTTTACATCAGGGGCCAGGTCAGGTTTACATCAGGGTCCAGGTCAGGTTTACATCAGGGTCCAGGTCAGGTTTACATCAGGGTCCAGGTCAGGTTTACATCAGGGTCCAGGTCAGGTTTACATCAGGGTCCAGGTCAGGATCAAGGTCAGGTTTACATCAGGGTCAGGTCAGGTTTACATGAGGATCATAAAACCTGAAATCATGTTCACAAACTCATGACATGTGCGATTCAGAAGCGGTTCCCATAGAAGTCAATGAGTCTGTAATCCGCACCTGAACTGGACCATACTGCTCAGAAAACGGACAGGACTCTTTTTCAAGCCGCACTGCCAGTGCACCAGATGTAAGTGAACAGGCACCATAGGAAGCAGTGTTTATTTCACATGTCATGCGAATTGGATGCGGTTCAAACCACATCAAATTCACATATATTTGAACCGGATCTAAGTGCGCTGCCAAAGACAAGATTCCAGCCTTTGCTTAATTGTAGTAATGGATTCGCTTCCCCTATATAGACATCTGTTTGCCTAAGTTTTCCAAAGTGTGTATATATAAAAGGTCAAATCACTGGGGCACACCTAGTTTTGTGCCAATTTTTTTAAATAACAAATCCACAGAGATGTGATACTTTGAGGGAAGCTTTTCTTTTCATAGAGTGCAAAAATGCAGTGCATTCACAGATATTTAAATAGAGATGACTTTGGAGAAAAACGGATGCACATTTTCCCCCTTCCAATGGGTCTTTGGACCATATAAAAAATGCACAACACTGTCTCAGATTAAATTCAACAGAGAAACAGTAATATAAGCAAAACTAAATTCTAAAGAACCCTTCATTCACAATGTTTCCAGCAGCCATATGCAGTGAGGTTTCCTCTGAAGTCTATCTTCCATCCTTTCACTCATTTGTCTATGGTGGCATTCATTGTGTCGCAGATAAGTCATCCTTGCTTTTCAAGATCACATATGTAAATCTTTCTCATACTTCTAAACACAGGCAAGTTAACCAAGGTAGTTTGATCTAACCACATTTCATGCTAGGAAACCAAGAGAGTTCTGTAATACACACCCTTGATTACACTCTAAATATCGAGCAGCAAACTTCTCCATCAAACGGTCAATTTTCTGAGCTTCACCAGGAAGACGGAATCCTTCCAAGAACATTCGGAGGGCAGACACAAAGTCTTTCCCTAAAAAGTCATGTTGATCAACATAGGCATACATCACTTCTTTATTAAACCTATCATTGTCTCCTAGGAATTCTCCAACCTGAGTCTGTAAAAAAAACAAAAATCAGCGTTTTTTTGTAATGACCATATTATAGTTGACAATGAATAACGGAAAAATTTTCTGCTAGGCGTTTATGATGTTTATGTCCCCGTTGGGGATATTTTCTTTCACTTCAGGAGTGGTAACAAGAATAGAGAATAACAAATATTTCTTTTTTTTGGGAAAGGAGTTTAACCTCTGTCCAGTGTAATCTGCTGTCCCCTAACGTTTTGTTTGGTCCTCAGAACAAGAAGCGAGAAAATCTCCACTAAAGGGGCATTAACTGCAATAAAAACGTGGCACCTTCTACACTTTGTCCAAAAGTAAACAGAAAAGGTTTTGGCTACAGTTCCTCTTTAGGGAATTCTTTTGTGTGTGTGAATACAATACACTAACACTATTCACCTACTGCTGCTGTACTTGGAGCTGACATCTTTAACACCTGCCCTGTGGATCCACACCTACCGGAAGTACTGGGAACTACCAGCACAGCCAAGGACAGTGCATTGGAGACCTGCCTGCAGTGGGACCAGCCAGGAGTTGCACAGCGCTTGACACCAGTTTGACAAGCGCTCATTTGACTACTACTATTGTGGGTCACCAATTTTGTGGAAATATATTATTTGCTGCACTTAGATGGCGCTGCTTCTCTCCTTTTTATGGTTCGCACAGAGTCTCTTCTAGCTCTTTTTCAATCGACTGCCACTGAGTCAAACATTGTTGGATTATCCCTTAACCACCTTTGGACTTTAAGGACTTTACTTGTGTGGTTAATATATTAGCTGTCAAAAAATACATCTGGTCTTTTTTCCTCTTAGTGCGCCAAATATTTCTCTTGATCTTGCAATATTCTATGGTAGCTTGTGCTACGTACAGTAAGCGGTGCTCTGTTCTGGCAGCAGTACCAGAGACTTCCCCCCTACTGCTGGAAATGAACTCCACCATTTAGGAGAAGCCTTGTACTTTCTCAGTGAATGCAAGGCTCCTTCTGATTGGCAAAAGGTGGAAAATTGTGATTGGCCCATCTCTCCTCCTTGGCCACCCAGAGAAAGCTTTGTATTCACTGAAAACAATACATTGTTTCTCCTAAATAGTAGAAGTGTGGTACAACTGACTCTCTCTCCATCTAATAGAGGGGAAGTCTTTGGTACTGCTACCAACAGAGCTCCATTTACTGTACATAGCACAAACTACTATAACAGTGGTCTCCAAACTGTGGCCCTTTGCTTGCTTTAGTCTGGCCCTTGGCGCACTATTCCACCAACTGACGCCAATGATGGAGCAACATTCCCCCTACTGACACCATCAATGGGGTGCTATTCTTCTCAATAATATCAACAATGGAGCACTATTCTTCCTTCTGACACCAAAGATGGGGCACTGTTCCTCCCACTGACACCAATGATGGGGCCCTATTCTTCCCACCGACACCAATGAAAGAGCACTATTCCTCCCACTGACACCAATGATAGGGCACTATTCCTCTCACTGATACCAATGAAGGGGCACTATTCCTCCACTGATACCAATGAAGGGGCACTATTCCTCCCACTGATACCAATGATGGGGCACTAATTCTTCCACTGATACCAATGATGGGGCACTAATTCTTCCTCTGATACCAATGATGGGGCACTATTCCTCCCACTGACACCAATGATAGGGCACTATTCCTCCCACTGATACCAATGATGGGGCACTAATCCTCCCATTGATACCAATGATGGAATACTATACTATACCCTCCACTGACACCAATGATGGGGTACTATACCTCCCACTGACACCAATGATGGGGCACTATACCTCCCACTGACACCATGATGGGGCACTATACCTCCCACTGATAGCAATAATGGGGTACTATACCTCCCACTGACACCAATGATGGGGCACTATATCTCCCACCGACATCAATGGAGTACTATACCTCCCACTAACAATGATGGAGTACTATTCCTTCTAATGATACAAATGATGGGGCACTATTCCTTTCACCGACATTAAAGATGGGACAGTACCGATCTCACTGACACCAATGATAGGGGACCGATGCCGGGGCATTTTCTGCTTCCAATGGCCACAATCAAGCCCTTCTAAAGCCTGAAGGACAGTAAACTGGACCTTTGCACTTAGAAAGTTTGGAGACCCCTGTATTTTAGTTTAATACAGCCTAAGCAGCAGCCAGTCCGTTCTGGCATGCAAATAATTTGTTTATTTCAAGCTGGGCCAAATAATCTATTTCAAATAGGTATGAAAGCCTTGAATTCTCTTTAACCTTAAAGTGTTACTACACCCACAACAGTAAAATCAGTCTGTATATGCAGTAAAGCATGCTTGTTATACTCATTTAACCGCTAAGGGGTTAAAACTCTGCATTGTGTAAAAAGGCCGTTTGATCCTGACTACTCTGCTCCTCCTCTTGTTCAAATATCCACGTCTTATCTCCTGATAAGACAGACTGAACTGTAGCCATTCTGCACATGCTCAGTTTAGTGTGTATTGCTGGAGAGGTTTATTTTTTTTCTTGGGAGAGTGCATGTGATCAGCACAGGGCCAATCAGCACTGTCCAGACAGAGGTCAGGGGTTTTGCATCCTCCTAGAGCAGAAAGAAAACTCCTCCTACAAGCTTTAACCAGTGCTCTGCTGAACCCTGATAGAAGTCACAAAACTGCTCTAACTGCTGATGAGAAAAGTTATTTAGCAGTTTATAGTTACTACAATAATTGCACTTCCATGTTGTGTGTACTGTGGGAGACCAGATATAGTGAATGCAGGGTCCTGGGTTTAGTAACACTTTAACACTTACAAAATGTCATCACTGGAAGAAATGTCAACTTCCCATGCCCTCTAACCCTCTCTTTTATGGCATACTGTTCGCTCTAAAACTACAGGTGCACTTTAGCTGCAAATAACAGTTTTCGAGAAAATAGTATCTAATTTAGCAGCACACTCAAGAAACATTCACAGTCATAAGCATTTCTCTGATGACATTCTGTCCGGCACAAAAGGTTAGAAGATCTTAAAAAAACATGGACCTCTTCAAAGGGCAGACATCAAAACAAGCTCTGGGCTCCACATCTATAATCAGGATGTGTTTCACTGTGATAAAATTAAAGGCATTCTTACTGAGTCTAATCGCTCCTCTTGATGCAGGAACTGAGCTATGTCTTCTGGAGTGTTTCCCAGCATCCCTTGCTCTTGCAAATACTGGATTCCTCTTTTTGGTTTCTTGTTAAATCTGCTCAGTTAAGGACAAAAGAAAATGCTTAGATATACAGAATTAATTATCGAGTGATACAAATATCCAATTTCAGCTTCAAAGAATGGGCTAAATTATTTTTAGACATGGACAAAATTGAAAAGTCAAACTTAGGCAATCATGAGCACAATTCAAAGGAGTCTAAATGCTATGAAGAAAAGCCTTTATGCTTTAGGTACAGAGAAGCTGCTTTGAGAAGAAGGGTAGTGCACTCAACTAGAAGAAATATTAAGTCAAGTGTGTCATTGTATCTATCATTTCGACAATTTTCCATGCTTTTAGAATGTAGTTGTCTAGGCAGAAATAGCTTGTTACTAAGGCAGACAAACCATTAATATAAAAGATTTAAAAGATACTCTCAGTCAAAAGGAAACCGCTGAACACCCCAAGCCGATTGAGAATTCAGGGAGCAGAGGCTGACAACAACTTTCTGCATGAGGGGGCTGTGACAGTAATGTCTGTAAGCTGATGACAGCATAGGGTCTCTAAATAGTGGATTACATTACGGAGACCTTGGAAACCTATACAGCTGCTTTGTGTTAAATGCCACAACACATTCAGTGGAAATTTTTTTCTTTTTTTGGGAGGAGCTTATTTTCAAATATAAACTAGCTTTATTCAGCAAGGCTAGGCAAATAGCTTTGATGAAATGCAAAGAGCTCTAACTTTAAGCTTGGATCAATGTAATTCTGCATATACCATACCTGGCCGATATCCCTGGAAGCTGGAAATCACTGAAGCAGACACCACTACTCCAGTAATCTCTAATTGCTCCAGGATTTTGAATTGAGCGACTGCCCTGCGGAGCACAGGAGGTCAGCTGCTCAGTATGGGTTCCAACCAGAGAATACTCTGCATTTTCTGAATGGATGCACAGCAATCTCTGATTGGTCGAGCTGAAGAGCATTATGTCACAACCAAGTCTCTTCACCTTGTCCAATCAGAGAACACTCCGCATGCATTAAAGGAGAAGTTCACTTATTGAGAAAAATAATAATACAATTTTTTTGCAGTTTAAAAAATGTGCATATATTTTTTTTTTTTTCTAAGGAGCCTGCAAAATATTGCACCCGCGATCAGCAGATCACAGGTGCAATCTCAGGCTCCTGCAGACTCTCAGATTAGCAGGCAGTTACCTGAGAGCAGGTAGATCAATGGACTATGAGAGCTCTCACCAGTGCCCTCATAATGCAATTGAGACCTACAAGCTATCAACCGCAAAGGCTGAGGGTACCTATAGACATTCATTCACAGAAAACTGTGAATGAATGACAAGGCAGTGTGGGTGGAGCCCCGCTATTTTCAAATTGTGACAGCAGGTGCAGGGCGAAGATCCCCCGCCTGCTGTCACAAGGAGGGGGAGATGGAGGAGATAGGCTGCAGATGCTAGAACATGTTACATGTTCCACCCTATAAATGGGTGGAACATATAACATGTTCCAAAGGTGAACTTATCCTTTAAGAAAATGCAAAACATTCTCTGAATGATGCCTGTGCCGAATGGTGGACCTCTTGCATTCGGAATGCAGAGGGCTGCAGGGACCTGAAAGCAAGTGGAAATCACTGTAGCAATGGTGTTTATTTCAGTGATTTCCAGTTTCCAGGGGCATCGGATGGTTTTATGGTATATACGTAGTTACTATAGTCCAAGCTCTGTAACTAGGTATAAAAATATCCATCTAAAATTCTCCTTAAGGCTTCATGCACACTAGTGTTTTTTTAAGTTCTAAAAACGCTGGATAAAATCCACTGGTAATAGTGTGTCTTAGTAGTGTTTAGGAGCGTTAGCATTTTATTAGCGTTTTGACAGTAGATGTAGTAAGAAAAAGCTAGAAAAAAGTTGTTAGGAGCGGTTTAGCAGCGTTTAGATTTTAGATTTTAGATTTTTTTCTGTCAGAAAAATGCTCCTAAAAACTCTACAATAAAAACTTTTTTTCTACTCCTAAAAGCTGAAGCTTGAAAAAGGATATTAGCCTAAAGCAGTGTGCATGGACACATAAGATAACTATTTAGCTTCTAGGAGCAGAAACAAAAATACTGATAACTTCTAGGAGCTTAAAAAATGCTATTGTGCATGCAGCCTTAAAATCCCCGAACTGTAGGGACTGCAGGAAACTAAAAGCCATTTAGTTGCTGCTAGATAGTGCACATTCAAACTTTTTTTTCTTCTTTTAGACAATCTGTTTTATAATGTGTTCCGATTTTTTATTACAAAAATAAATCAATTATATTCTTAGAGTATATTTTTTTTTTGTTAGTGTGAGATGCCCTGAATATGACTTTATATTGAAAAAGAGATATATTATGCACTAATTGGTAGAATAGGACAACAGGTGACAGCTTCCATTGAAAGCTTTGTTTTACCTTCTTCTGAATCAACAAAACTGGGAATTACGACCTGCTGAATTACACAGACTGAAAATACCAGAAAAGTCCATCCACAATTGATATTTCAATTCTACAGCACACTGGCTGCTTGGGTTATGCACCAGCTTCTCTTGAGGACTTCAGCAGATTGTTCAATGTATCAGAGTGTCCATATCCTCCTACCTGGTGTAGAAATTATGAGTCGGGCTTGCCAGCAGGAAGAGTGACACTACCCTATTTGACAATAAACTTGGGGAAGAATCAGGAAATCTGCTTGGATGTTCTAAATAATAAAGTACATGAGAAGCATGCAGGTCCAGCCACAATTGAAATATCATTTGTAGGTGGTTGTAGTATTTTCGCTGTCCCTCGGATCTGATTATATGTTATTTCATCAACTTTTCATGATTTTAAGAAAACAGACTTTTTCTGTTTGGTAAGGTTACAAAAATCATTCTCATCAACAAGAACCACACAGAGTTTTAAACAGCAGCAGCAATCCTAAAAGTAGTCAAACTTACAAATCTATTCCTTGCTCTATAATCTCTTTTTGCTGTTTCAAGACTTCAAACTGTTCTGGGTTGTCTGTGCCAGACATCTGTGTGCTGTAGCTGCCGATGCCTGAAGACGTGGTAGAATCCAATGAGTTCAGACTTCCATATCGATTGATGGTCTCCGGGTGCTTGGTCTCATTGGTCTCTTGCTCTACAGGTTTTTCCTGCCCTGTAGAAAAAAAAGATTATTATTGGCTGTGTGGGCATATATTTCCAGCAAATACAAGGAAAATGCGGCATACATTACTACTTTGCACTATCAGAAAGCATATACTGCTGATATACAGTATACATTTAGTTTTCTGGGAAAACATCTTCTAAGGCAGCAATAATTTCAGGTAAAACAATACTATTTATACAAATTCATAGTGATGTTTCTCTAGCACAGTAATTCCTCATGTACACTGCTGCTCCTAAATGTGAGTTTAGGAGCTTTGGGCGTTTTTTTTTTTGCCAAAGCTCCTGAACTCAACTCAATATAAGCCATGCACAAATAGGATTTTATCAGAGTTTAGCAGCAGCAGCAGCGTTCAGGGGCAGTTAAACATCCCTCTCCTGAATGCAGAATTGCTTTCAGGACAGAAACATCTTGGCCAAAAAAACACAAAATGCAGCAAAACCGCATGTAAACGCACCTAAGCGCTAGTCACGTTTAGCACTTGGGCATTTATTCATTTCAATGGCAAGTACTCTGGCCAAATAAATGAATAAACACCCAAGCGCAAAAACGTGGTACCGCGTTTGTACGCATTTTTGCAGCGTTTAACGTTTTTCAGTGGCTAGGAGAGCTTGGTGTCCAAGGGAGCTTAAGTGTACATGTAGGGTGGCCATAAACAGTTAAATAATTATAAGTTCTCAATTTCAAAACATCTGTGCATCCTCATGCAGGTAAACATAACCCTGCAAGCTGTAATGTACTGTACACCCCATGTGAACAAGGCCTATGTGAGGATTTCCCTTAGTTGCTAGATATTTTCTCTCACTTCCTGATGTGTGGAAGTGATGGAAAACCCCTCAACCCTTTCAGTATCAGAGCCTTTTTTTTTTTTTGCTCACATGTAATATTGCACATTTTAGGCCTGAAGATTAATTAAAACACCCCCAAAACATATATTGCTGAAAGCAGAGATCCTGTAGAATAAAATGTTGACAGTTGCAATTTTTATGGCATACAATAACTGCGCTTACCACATTTAAATTTTAGTAAAGATACTTAAATAATATTAGTGCACACAAATATACATTTTTTTTTTGCAAAATATAAAGCATGAGGTTGTGTCGAGTAGACAACAAATGTGTCAATCATCAAAATTGCAAGCGCCTGTGAAATGATGAAAAACATCAGTACCCCAAATTGTCCATAGGCGATTCTTTAAAAAGCTTTACAGCTCATCAGTTTACAGTTAACAGTGAATGATGGTCCTATGAATGATTGCTCTCACTCCTGTCAACTGCATGTGTTAACATAGTGCAGGTGAAAGGTTCTCTTTTAAAGAGACATCAGGGGTCTATTAGATAGTAAGCTCTTAAAAGAAAGGCTCTC